CCTCTCAAAACATGTTCATGCTGTAGACTCTAGTCATGATCTGGACTAAGTGATTAGTTATAGGCTAAGTACTAGAAATTAATATTTGATTTTTTTTGCAGTGCAGTCAGCAGGCAAAGTATTGAAGACACGTAATACTGGATTCACAAGAGCATGCAAGTAATCAGCAAGGGCTCTCTGAAAATTTGATATTTTTCTCAATTGCTTCATTAGGTTTTACAAAAGGTTCCATCTTTCTGTGTATTGATAAAAGTAAACAGTCGGCTGGCTGGGATGCACTTTTACAGATTTCTACCATACTGCTAGTATAGTCCTCAGCTGCATAAAACTTGGTAGTATTTTTGGCCCCTTAAAATCTAGACCAACTTTACAAAGACAGACCTAACACTGATTTAAATATTCTAGCCAGTCTTACTAAAACTTGTAGGTGTAATAAACTGTTCCACTTCAATATCAGAAATGTTAGGAGGCTCAATGAGACTAAAATTCTGGTGGAACTGTTAGTTTCTAAGCTTTCTCAAGAGATGCCTAAACAAAAAAGTTTATATGTAAGGCTTCTGATGAGCAGAAGCACAAAGACTAGTGATCCTTTCTACTCTGAAGTTTAAAAAGCTTGAGGCACCTCATGTGGGGATTCTGTAAAAGCCTGAAGCAAAAAAAAAAGCTAGAAAAATAATACAGTGAAATGACATTTACTATATAATATGCAGAGCACCTCCTAGAAGCAACAACTGTTTTCCCACAAGGGGAGGAAAATCTTTTTTTTTTTTCTCGTCCCATAGATTTCACAAACTGAACTTACACCAGACAGCTGAGGTCTGCCAAGTCATCAATGAAGTCAAACAACTGGCTGATATCGTATGTAATGGACGGACTGTTGGGATTCATTCTCTTCAGATGCTCTTCGTACATTTTGCAGACTCCTACAGAAAAAAAAAAAAGATTGATAATGCAATACAGAAACTTCATTTATTGTGAATTCTTTCAGATATTGAACTACAGGAGACAGGAAAGTAGAGATGATTGCCATTATAACAGAGGCATGAATTACTACTTCAAATTTTGCAATTTTTAAATACTTTTGTCCTAGTTACCTATACTTGGCAAAGAGGGGAAGGAAAAAAAGAAAAACAAACAAAACCTTTTCAAACGAGGTAAGACGCATATGAAGAAGGATGAACATGATCTAGTAAAAAAAGTTGTAGTTCCATCACTTCAAAGGCATAACTTTCCAAGTAGTAAGTAGCAATGGAAAATGAAAATTCCTTCTGTTTTAAGATGGAAGATATAGTCCTAATGTACAAGTATCTGAGAACAGCTAGCAACACAGCTACCACTCCTCTCTCAAGAGAGGACATTGTTTTTTAGAGAGTCAAACAGGGCAAATGATCACCTCAAAGGTAATGCTGCCAGCACAAGCCTGTATATGAATTCAGATCTGTCTTGTTTAATGCTAAGTTGGATGGAATTGAGAAGAACACAATATTAATGCGAGCACTGAGGTTTTATGTGGTCAAACTGTTTGCCTTGCAAAACTTCTTGGAATAAGAATTTTTAATGCTCAGTGAAATTCCACATTTAAATCATGCAGCTGTATTTCTATCAACCTTCCAAGTACATCCCTGTTAGCCACACAGAATTTGTCTCACAAGCCACTAGATTGTTAAGTGTCACTTATGTACATAGTTTATATTATTTCCAACAGCAATATTATTTCCTTTACATGACTAGAAAAAATAATGAAAGTTAGGATGGATCTGGCAGTGAAAAACATATCTACTACATGACCATGACAAGGAACATATCACCCAGTTTCAGGAAGTGCTGTGATTTGATTTAAGTCATTTTTTTAATACAGAAAGCAACTTTGAAAAGCTAAGAAAAACTACATTTAGCTTGCAAAAACATGAGTAAACCGAAAGAATGAGACATTTTTGCAATTTTTGTGACTTCTCTGGGAAACAGCAGATTTACTTACCAAGTAACCTTTACGAATATGTCAAAAATGAGGTTTTAACAGAAATTATCCATTATGGTGATGAGAGAAGCAAGATACCCACCTTCCATGCACTCGTTGACTGATTCATAATCAGCATAGGTTCTGCCTTCTGGCCTCTTTGTGGGCTGAACAAGTAGAATTGTGTGAGACTGGAGAGAGAAGGGGAGGAAAAAAAAAGGCACTGAGCTGCTTCCAAAAAATATACACACTTCAATGTAATATGAAAAGATTAAACTACAGATGTTTTTGGCCTCCACATCATTAGATAAACTGGGCTGCACTAAACATATCCATCCCCATGTTACTTTACCACACCTATCTTGTACAACTTTGGCATGTAAGGATAAATGAGGACTCAGGTGGCAAAGTCTTTAAACGTGTACAGTGATCACAGCTCTAAAAACAAGCATTGTATTTTAGTGCTGATCTAGCACTTGAGATTTTTTTTCCTCCAAATAGCACTTTCGCACATGCCATGCTAGCAATTTTTGTTTCCACTCGGTTCTCTTAACGCTTAGTGTTTTTTTTAAAATGAATGAAAACCACTAGGAAAGTAGCTATGATTTTGAAGAAACACCATGGAAATAGTATCTTCCATTTAAGCAGAAGAGTAAAGCAATAGAAGTCAATATATAATAGCTATCTAATCACATTTACTTATTTCAGTCTGCAAGCTGTTGGTATGATCTCAATACCTCGAGTAGAGAGAGAATCCAACATAGCGCAGGTTACAGATCATGGAAGGTTTGCAAGGACATTAGATAACACCATTTTTGAGTGTTAATTGAATCCAATATTTTCAATGCTATTAAATAAGGAGAATACACAGTATATAGTATCTGTGAGGCAACTGCAAAGTAAGCCACCCTGGAAAAATAAATACTAAAAATTATTATTGGGTTTCAGTTAGTTAACTGCTGAGAAAAACTCATGACTTGTGGTTTGGACAAATAGGTTAAGATTCCTCCTATTCTTTAAAGTGTTAGATCACTGTGTATGTTCTGACATTATCCCAATAATGACTGCAAACAAGAAAATGCAACAGTGAGGCAGACACCTAAGCCAGTTATTTTAAAACTGTAAAATGTTCGGGCCTCTGATTTTAAATTATGCATCACTTAAATTTTTCAGTATCTGTACTTGATACTGGCCTAGGAATTGTTATTCACGCTCTTAAAAGAAAAAACAAAAAAAAAACATCTTTCAGCTTCTCGTAGAGCAAAATAACTAGACATACTGAAGACTAGTTTTAGTAAGGTTCTAACAATAATTCTGGTACATCCATTAAGAAATTTTTTTTTATCCTGTTCTTCTGTTACTGCTGGCTTTTGTTTCGGCCTCTAGCAGCTAATAACATCTTGGCTTCTCCTGAAAACTGTGGGACAGGAAGAAAATGATTATAATAAAAAGAAAATCAAGTCATTTATGTTTCTATTGTATATATCATCTTTTAGGAGCTGTGATTGCCTTGAGTGAATTAAAATTAATTTCACTGGAAGCAACTCTATTACTGAATAAATGTATTATACTTAGAATAGTAGGAAGTTCTTAAACACTTTATCTTAATGAAAAACTTTTAAAATTTTTAAATGATTTTATGAAATTGCTCCTCCTCCTCTATGGAAGAGCCAAAGAGCAACAAACTTAGAAGTTCAGGAGACTTTTCCTGAAACTGATGGTGCCCCAGTGAACACATGCTTAGGCAACAGTGACCAAAACCAAGTGTGATGAAGGACTATTAGGGTTTCCTACAGCCATAAACCCTGGTGTTGGGGAAAGGTACTGGATGATAAAGTGACCCTTGTGCAATGGGGGCAGGTTACTGCAAGCAGCCCAAGAAGGGCTCTCATTGCTCTGCCTCACACAGAGGGTTCTGCACTTTTTTTTTTTTTTTTTTTTAAGTGTAATAATGTAAGTAGCTGTTCAGTGACGCAAGTAGGCTAGATCTCACCCTGGGATATAGTTATATGAATTTAAGCTTCTTGAAGCCTCTTTATGGGTATTTTAAGTACATTATTGACAGCATAGCTCTAGGAAAAGCAGAAGAAAAACAAAAATGAAGATGCTGCAGGCAGCGCTGGTGGGCAGAGGAGGGCCGGAAGGGGCTCACATGGGGCCCGCGGCGGCTCTCGCCCTTGTTGCTACGGAGCAATAAAGAACAGCAACCAGGGAAGGGCGCGGGAGCTGCGCGGAGCGGGGCGCGCGGGCAGGGGCCCCAGGCGCTCCTCGGCCGCGGGGGAAGCAGCTCCCGCCTTCCCGCTCCGCGCGGCGGGGCCGGG